ATGATGATGATGATGATGATGATGATGCTGCTGATGATGATGATGATGATGCTGCTGCTGCTGATGATGATGATGATGATGATGATGATGATGATGATGATGATGATGATGATGATGATGATGATGATGATGATGATGATGATGATGATGATGATGATGATGATCGGGTAAGACCAGAGTGGTCTGGGAGCGGTGCTCGGCTCAGCCACCTTGCGTTCGGCGTACACGATCGCAAGGGCCCCGCGGGGTCCAAGCCAGACCCGGGCGACGAGGGACGGACCCGAGACGCCAGATTGGGGCAGCCCCCGCTATGACCCCTGGCGTCTGAGGCCACCAGGAGCATCGCGGTCAGGCCGCCCCCTTCCGCCCGAGCCCTCGCGGGCTCGGCGGACGCGAGAGCCCTCAGACCCTGACGGAGGACCGCCGACGGCCGCCAAGGGGCCGACGGCCGAGCTTTCCGAGCCGCGCCCAGCGGGCCCTACCTTCGCAGGCGCGGCCGACGCGAGCAGCGTGCGGCAGACGGCGCACTCACGGCGCCCTTTCTTGAGGCGGTGGCCGGCTGGGCAGCATGCCCCTGCCGCCGCGCCTCCGTCGACCCGTCCAGGCGCCGAGCTGACGTGCTGACGGGCGCCCTCGCCTCGGCCACGCCCCGCGGCCCCGCGGCGCCGTCTTCGGGGGGTGGCCCGTCGGGGGCCTGGGCGGTGCCGGCCCCGCGGGCCCGCTCCAGGACCTCGGGCCCCCCCTCCGAGGCCGAGCTCCAGCTCCTGGGCGGGCGGCTCCGCGTGATGAGCTCCACGGCGGGCTCCAACTCCAGGACGGCCGCGAGCTCCACGACGCGCTCCACGCCGAGCTCCAGCTCCAGGACGACGGGCTTCAGCCCCACGACGGGCTCCAGCTCCATCTCCCTGGCGGGCTCCGCCATGACCATGTTGGCCATGAAGGGCGGCCTTGCGGTAGGCCCCACGCGCTCCGCGGCGGGGGCCGCGGCGAGCACCCGCTCTATGACGGCGGCCAGCGCCACGACCACGGGCTCCAGCTCCGAGACGACCTCCACGACGCTGGGCTCCACGTCCAAGAACGCCACGAGCTCCAGCCCCGAGCCGACGAGGCCCCCGTACAGCTCCTGCCCCATGATGGCCAGCTCCACGAGGGCGGCCTCCAGCGCCGAGACGATGTGGTCCCCGATGTGCCCCAGCGCCCTGCTGAGCTCCGCGACGAGCTCGAGCTCCAGGATGGCGAGGTTCCGAAAAGCCCCACCTTCGTGACGAGCCCCGAAGAGAGCTCCAGCACCGTGACGGGCAGGTCCACGGCGACCAGCTCCCGCTCCAGGGCGGCAGGGTACGCGACGTGCCCCTACTCCGTGACGGGCAGCCCCTCGACGCCCTCCAGCTCCAGGGCGGCGCGACCCCGAGCTCCATGACGGGCCCCGCGACGAGCTCCCACTCCGCAATGACGAGGGGCACGGCGGGCCCCATCTCCGCGGCGAATGCCGCAACGGGCACCACGGCCGCGTCACGGCCACCACGAGCCTCGCGACGAGCTCCGCGGCCATGACGAGTGCCCCCACGACCAGCGCTGCGGACGCATCCGTGCCTGGCTCCGCCTCGTCCCCCTTTGTCTCGGGGCGCCCCCCGCCGACCAGCCCAGCGGGCGCTACTGCGCCTGGCTCCGCTTCGCCCCCCTTCGGCTCGGAGGCGTCCGCCGCGCGGATGGGCTCCGCGGCGGTGTCCACGGCCGCGGTGTGCCTCAGGTCCCGCATGCTGCGGTCCTTGCCCCCCGTGGCCACGGCGAGGTCCGCCATGGGGATCTCCACTAGCGTCGCGAGCTCCGCGCCCCAGCGCGGTGGCCTTGAACGGCCAAGCTGCGCTGCTGAGCGGCGTGCGGGCCGTGTGCACGACGATCCGCTTGGCCACGCACGGCACATCGGCGGCCTCGTGCCTCGCGGTCTCGGGCTCGGCCGTCCCCAAGGTGGCCTTGCCTGGCAGGCCTGGGAAGCGCGGCACCGTCGGGAGCCTTGGCTGCTCGGGGCGGGCCGCCCGCAGCGTCTCGGCCACCGCGCGCGCGGCCGAAGGCCGCGCCTGCCGCTCAGCGTCCAGCGCGGCCGCGAGCGCGTCGCAGCGCTGGGACAGGGCCGAGCATCGGCTCTCCCTCTTCGTCACCGCGGCGTCGGCCGCGCGCACGGCCCGCGCTCGCGCTGCCGAGCGTTCAGCGCGGGTCCGTCGTCGCCGTGGGTTCGTTGGGCAGCCAGCGACGGCCGCCGCCTGTATCGCACTCCATTCCATACGGAGCGCTAGTCTCAGCTCGAGGGATGGCCAGCCTTTCGCAAAGCTCCCTCGAGCCAAAACTATGATGATGATGCTGATGCTGATACTGCTGATGATGGTGATGGTGATGGTGATGGTGATGGTGACGATGATGATGATGCTGATGCTGATGCTGATGCTGCTGCTGATGATGATGATGATGCTGGTGATGGTGATGGTGATGGTGACGATGATGATGATGCTGCTGTTGATGATGATGATGATGGTGATGATGATGATGATGATGATGATCGTGATGATGAATTTGATGATGA